TTTTTTTTTCTTATTTTGAATGTGGAAAAAAAATAAAAAAATGTAACAAATGGCAAGGAAGAAGCTGACAGGCTTCAAGGAARGTTTTGAAATAACAGAACTGCAGAAGGCAAAGGAGAGAAGCACTTAATTCATTCTCCTCAGGGTAACTCCGTGACTTCCCTTCCTTCCACCCATTTTGGCAGCTTCCCCTGCCTTCAAACCACAGRCTTTGCCCACGAACTCGTCCCTGCCTCCCCTCTCACCGGGCACAGAAAGCATCCTACGAGCACAGCTCCACCTTGACCACGGCAAACACCACGAGCAGCCAAAGGAAGCAGATGTCTAGCAGCTCCGTGCAACCCAGAGACAACCCAAATGGAATGCACTCCTCTAGCCTACGTGCCACGCCGCTTCTGCTGCGCTGCTACCCACTGGTGTGCGGAGGAGAAGGCGAAACCACGGCGGGCTGGCTTGAAATACCTGATTTTTTCTGTGTTTCTGTCACGGGCACAGAGGCAGCRAACTCAGAGGATGGTCTGATGATGCTTGCTTGTGGTGGGAAGAAGAAATTTGGAGGRTAGAAGACAGGGTGTCAGTTAGAGGGTGGGGATAGAGCAGGGCTGCTGTAAATGTCTGCCTTTAAAGCAAGGAGGGATTTTAATGCTTCTAAAATTCAGAAGTGGGGGCTACAGCAGTGTCTCACTTTGGGATCCTGACYTTGCTTGGGGTCATTGTGTCTGCTGCAAACGTGTTCTACCAGGAGCTTCAGGGGTCACCTCTTTCCCCAGGTGCAGCTGAATTGCATCTGCAGCCCCTTGGGGATATTGTGGTATTTAAGGAAATAATTCATGTTTTGCAGGGAGGAGGAGGAACATCTCTGGCCAAAAGCAGAGCAGAATTGAGCTGTGCCTTGACTCCCTATTTCTGGTCAAGGGCACACAGTGGACCTTCAGCATCAAACCCAGTTAAGAGCAGGTCCCTGAGCTGCTGGATGGCTCTGGCTACCCTCTTATGTGGATCTGCCCCTCCAGGGACTGTCACCAMTCCCAGGGACACCTTCCTGGGGTGGGACCTGGCTCTGCAGAGCCACAGATGAGGATCTGGATAGGGGTGAGGAGCGAGGAGCTCAGGCCTGGCTGTATCAAGCCAAAGATCTGGCAGCTTGGCTGCAATTTATTAATTTTATCCCTTGCCATCAATTAATGAAAGCGTTAGGAAAACATTTTCTYTGCCCAGGAAGCAGATTTTGGAGAAGGAATCAAGGCTGAGGTGTGTAATGTCTCTCAGGTCCCTCAGAGCAGTCTGGCACCCCAAACCCACGGACACTTTCCTGTGCCAGAGGTGCCAGGGGAGGCAGAACACTGCAGAGACACACTAAGCAGCCACCCACGTAAACACAGCACAAAACCAGCCCTAAAATGTCACTACAGGGGAGCATGGATAAAAATCAATCGACCCCAAGCACATGGGGTGGKTGTAGAAGTGATCTCCTGGCACTGCTGGGGCTGTGGGGATGGTGTGAGCTCTGGGCTGGGGGGTGGATGAGCCTCCTCCTGCATGGATCCAGCACAGATCCGAGTGAGGAGCCCTTCTTAACAGAGCTGAGCCTTGTACCCTTTACCCAGGGTCACTCCCAACTCCATGGAAGTTGGACCCAAACCCTCGGCTTCCTGATTAACTCCTCGAGCAGGGTACTTCCATGAATATATCTATATTTGCATAAACATGCAATCAAGTTTCCTCATCCCTTTGACTGGCTTCTGGCAGCTCCCCCAGACAGACTGTTACTAACATGCTGTGGGTGTAAAACGTCCTCCTGGGAAATATCAGGCCCTGAAAGCATGGCAAAGGGAGGAATGCGTGTCTAATTCCCCCATGAGAAGCTTAAAAAAATGTCCTGCTGTTAAGGTTTATCTGCTCATTTCCAAAAGACAAGGRAAAACGCTGTCTCCTTGTTCACGGAGCAGGGGGGAAGGAGGAGCCCCCACAAAAAGGACAAAAGTTTTCCTCCACGGGGTGATTTCAGGAATTAGGAAAGGATGTTTCTGGCGCGTGTGTGAGCTCCAGCTCTGCACAATCCCGGGCTGCTTGGACAGCRGCCACCTGGGGAACGCTGGAATTCTGCCCTAGGAAATCTGCACCTGCATTACCTCTGTGAGTCTGGGGACTTGGTGCAGGATTGGGACAGCCAGTGGGCTGCTCTGAGTCTGGTGGCAGGGGTTCAGGGATAGAGCAGGATGGGGCACAATTCCCCTCTCCTTCCACAGGGATATGTGGTTTAAATTTATTCCAGAACAACAAAGTGTTCATTGCTTTGCTGCCCTTCCTTGTCATGGAGCTGTGAGAGCATCTCTGGCAGCTGTGCCWGAGACAACAGCAAACCAGGGCTGCCTGGAGGCTGGGGAAGGTGAAMCAAGTCAGGGTGATTTTTATCCATGTCCTTTATCATCCTACAGAGCAGAGATACCAACACAGCAGCACCGTGGGGAGCAGCTGAAAAAAAGGAGCCCAGGAGCGGAGTCCTGGCTTCTGAGCRGGGCAGGGAGTGTGACACCCACCTGGCTGGGTGGTGGTGGCTGGTGGAGGGGTGCTGGTGGTRGTGCTGSTGGTGGTTGAGGTGSTGGTGGTAGTGGTGGTGCTGRTGGTTTTTGCRGTGGTGGTTTTTGCKGTGGTTTTGGCGGTGTTTACTCGCTGCGGCCGCTCGTACGCTGACAAGCAAAGAGAAGAGTTGGGAGGCGCTTGCTGGGGGGAATGGAGGGTTTCCTGGGCAGCCTGCACACCCRTGAGGCTGCTGCTGCTGGGCTGAGCTGGTGGCTGATTTATCAGCGTGGTCACAACTGGGACAGCGGCGGGATTAAGGCGACGGCAGCTCGGTGACGCTGCACCCGGCGAGGGCGCGGGGTGTGAGCAGGGGCTGCAGGCTGGGGCTGTATCAGCTTATTCTGCTGGTGCAGATATTGGCTTAAATACTTACAGCTCCATCATAAACTAATGGCCAATTAGGCTGGAAAGGGGAAAAGAAGGGATGTCTGGGCAGGGATGGGGTGGGGAATGGCTGGGAGGTGCCAAGCCGCGCTCCCACTGCCCGGTGCCTATGTGTCCAGCTGTGCTCCAGCTGTGCTCCAGCTGTGCTCCCTGCACAGCCCCATTCCCTGCTGCCACCCCTCACCAAATACCTGGCCCCATCCAGAATCACTGCCACGTGTTTGTTTCCAGTGGTTCCCATCAAATTCAGGGCTGTTCGGGGTCAGCAGAGCCCCACCGAGCTGGGCAGGAGCAGTCCCTTCCACTGCTTCCCACAGCAGCCATGACTAAAATAACACCAGAACACAAATTCCTGCTTAACTTACACCTGCTGCCCTCCTGTCCTTGTTTGTCCCACTGCTTCATGCAGATTATCATGCTTAATTTCATAATAGCCCTGAGCTAGTTTAAATACTTAATTTAGGTCACTTCTAGTCTCCTATGTGGGCTAAATAATCTCTCCTTAACTGGCCTTGGACACAAATCCCTCCTGTCCACCTCCTGCACATCGCTCCCAGCACCCTCCAAGCTTCTGCCYTGCAGAAAATTTTGATGGGAAATGTTTCCCAGGGAAACAAAAGCAGCCAAGAATGCCAAGCTTTGTAAATTGGAGGAAAAAAAGTTATCAAAATGGTTTTGAATAGAAAGGTGAACAATATTTTGGACTAATAAAACTTTTTTTCCTTAATCCTAAATTACTTAAGGGAGACCTTTAATAATTATTTGAAAACTTCAAGCACTTAACTGCTGGAAGTCTAAATGTGGTTCATTTGCCCAGAAAACCTGTCCTCTACTTTTCTATGAGGYACATTTTTCTTAATTGCATTTGCATTTCCCTGAAACGATTCCTCYTCCAATTCTTTCCCCTTGCCTGCAAACCAAAGAATTCATTATTCATTCAGCTCCCTGATTTGTTCCTTCCAGAGGGGCACTCTGAGCCACAACACTCAAACCCARGATTCTGCTTACCCAAAACTCCAGGCTCTTTGATACCAAGCTACCTCCAGCTTTGTTAAATCAGGAGCTCTCTCCTGCCATCAATCCTGCAGCAGAAATCCCCACTGAGCTCTGCCTCCGTCGCTGCTGACACCTCACAGACATATGTTCACATCCACACACGTGTACCTACAGATGTACACATGCCCTACATGCTTTTTCATAGCCCAACGTGACCCAGACTGGGTTTTACCCCAAATAATTCACACCCAGCTCCTTCTCAGAGAATAATTTTGCAAAACTGGCTGGGGGAATGGGGGGGAGTTCACAGCGAGCACTGGTGATTTGGAAGAGTCTTTTTTTATTTCCTTTCCGGCTGCCGTACTAACGAACCTCATGGGGGGAAACCATGCCAGAGGAAGAGGCAAAATGAGGCTGCTGAAGTCAAAGGAAGAAAATATAAGACTCTTTGACAGGACAGAAAATGAGGCACAATTAGGGAAGACGAATTGCCTGGAAAATGATAATGGATAGAAAATAACCATATATTTTTTTCCTAGTGACATCCACAAGGATCATGCACCGAGGTGTTAAATGCCAGCATTTCAGTCAGGGTTTTACTTACTGCCAAAGGCTGAGCCTGCAGCTGCACCTGGAAAAAACAAGAGGAAACCCAGTCAGTGGAAGCAGGACACCATCAGAAGATCACACAGACACACGACATGGGACTGAACAGCAGCTAATTAGCGGGGGCTTGCTCACAGGCACATCAGTTTGCTGCTACAGCTTAAAAGCTGCTTTTGTCAAAGCACAGGAACAGCCAGACAACGCTGTCTGGGCTCTTGGCATCTCGAGCCTTTCACATGGGGAAGGAAAACCAGTGTGGTCCTTGCTGGTGGGGTTTTTTTTTTCTGTTAACCATTTCCTTGGCCTGCTGTGAAAGCCCAGCAAAGGAGAAGCACTGGGCTAAGGACAAGCTGTAGGGTCTGAGCAGGGGACTWAAAGCCACAGGCCTTGCTGTAAGAAGTGGGTGAATCATGAAAAGTCTCAGTTCTGCATGGATATAAAGCACAGGAGCAGTGATGGAAKAGGTAGGACTGCCAGGAGGAGAGGGGTGCAGAGAACTGCCTCAGGGGCAGGGGATGAGGATGCTGATGAGGGGAGGAGGAAGAAAACAGATGGGAAGAGAGATGAATGGGAGAAGGAAGAGCAGAGAAAGAGAAATAGGAAGAGACACAAGGAACRGAGAGGAGGGAAGAAGGGAGAACAGCATGTCTGTGCCTGTCAACACCAGAAACTCTCCCAGGCTCCTTTGAAGCAATGCAGCCGCTTGGTGGGAGCTGACAAGCTCGTTCCCTTTCAAAGAACCTGCTCATCTACCAGCCCTGGCACACACAAAACATTCCCGTCACGGCCTTCGGAGCCTGGATTTCAGCTTTGATCATCTTAAAGCACATAAATCTTGCAAAAAATCTGGGGGGAGGGAGAGTTAAGATTCTCTTTGGTAACGCTCAAAGCTGCTGCTTGAAAGGCTGGAGTGGCTACCGTGGCTTCGTGACATTTAAACAAGTTTGCTAATGTGGACTGGACAGGAACCCAGGAGGARCTGGCCCATCTGTGATGTCTCCTGCCCCAATTCCCTGCTCGGAGGATGGGGGAGCTCATCCTCCCTCCTGCCTGCGCCGCCACCGCTGTCAGAGCCGCTCCAGCAGCCACTGGAGGAGGATGGGGCTGTGCACAGAGCCCACAGCCCGTGGGCTTCCCACAACACAGGCATGGAACAGCACCCAGGGAGCACTCCTGGGGCTGAGCACAGCCAGCACCGAGCCTGTGGCTGCTCCACAGCCAGAGCTGTGCTCTGCTAAAGAGTGCCTTTGTCAAGGGACAGCAACGGGCACTGCCCCCAAAGCTGTGGTTGTGTCAGCCTAAGGTCATCCTGAAAATTCTTGACCAGCATTCAGACTCATCCCTTCTCTGCCAGCAGCCAACACATCACCTCTGCATCCTCCAGATCCTCCTTCATCTCTCTGTGTACCCAGATAGGGGAAAGAACCCATTTCCCTCTGGAAAGCTGAGCATCCTGCATCTGATTGCAGCTGGAGAAGGGCAAGATGAGAACTGAGAACCCTCCTGGCCAAGGAGGGATGAGTCTGAATGCTGGTCCCCACAATTACTGGTCAATGCTGGCTGGTCAGTGCTGGCTCCCCACAATTACTCACATGCATTGGGGGACCCGTTGGGCAGGGGCAGGTAGGACCCTGCTCGCCAGGACCTGGAGCGAAAGTTCTTCTTGCACTTGCCGCAGTCCTGCCCCGTGGTGTTGTGCTCGCACTCGCACTGCAGGCTGCCCTCCTTGAAGGTGCACAGGTTGGCGTGCAGGTTGCATTTACACCTAAGGGGAGAAGATGGGGAAGAGCTGTCAGGTGTCACTGCTGCTCCTCCTCGCCCCCAGGACAGTGCTGAACATGTGCTGGAGGTTGCTCACCCCTTCCCTGCTGTTTATCACCCCTTTCCTGCTGTTCCTCACCCCTTCCATGCTGTTCGTCACCCCTTCCATGCTGTTCCTGTGGTTTTTTCTCACTGAACTCAGCGGTTTCCCCCAGTGTCTGGTGCTGGAGTTCCAATGTCCACTTCCTCGCCCAAGTGGGATCTGAGTCTTTAGTCCAAGATGAGACACTTCACTCCCACCATCCCCACAGATTGTTTGATGGAAAGCCAGCATCTCCAGCTGAGACACCAGGGAGGARTCACTCCCCTTTCAGGCTGTTACAGGGATCTGGGTGATGACCTCTGCTTTAGATGGAGGAGCAGGGCTAACCCTGGTGGCACTCAGCCTTTGCCYCCTGGGCATTGTGCCAAGGCCAACAGCATTTTCTCCCCTGGTGTGAGGCTGCCCAGCACAAACCCTCTTCCCTTTGTGCAGCAGAGCCCCAGCCTGCTGTGACCAAAATAACACCAACAACGAGCCACCACCAGCATCCAGCAGCCAGTCCCCGCCTCATCAGAGCAGGCAACAACTAAAAACACTGCTCAGCAATTTGCAAACATTAAGAAACTTTTAATGAGCTCTAGTGCAGTATGCAGGGAGTAATTAWCTCCGTGCACAATAATTCCTGTTGCTCAGACTCCGGAGGTGACTTGCGCAGAGCGCAGAGGCTGAGCCCATAACTCACACGTGGCTCTGGTGGCTCCTGGGCCCGAGCTGAGGCCATCAGACAGAGACTTTGGGGACCAAAACATCTCATTTCATTCCAGACAGTCGATGCCTCGCACAGCCCGATGGCTTTCCCTGCTTTGTGCAATAATTCACTCTCTCAGAAGCAGAAGCATTAGGAGCAGTAATGCTGTGCCTTCTGTGCACGGGAGGAGAAGTCTGATGGGGCAGCGCTTCCTTTTACGGGGCTCAGGAGATGCAGAGCTGGGGGAATGAACTGCCTGCAGAGCAGGGAGAGGAAACACGGCCTGCTGTTCCTTGTGCTCTGTCTGCACGGGATAAACAGCCTGGATTAGGTGGGAGCTCTGAATCCGGGTGCTGCGCATGCCCCCTGCTCCTGGTGCCTCTCCCCCTCTCCTTGCAGCCCCCAAAGAAGCTCCCCAGCCACCTGCCTGACCCACTGAGGCCGCCTCTGCCGCGCTCTCCTCACGCATGGCTGGATAAGCTGACCTCATGTACGAGTTTTTCTCCCTCTCCCTCCCCTCCCTGTCCTTAATTCTAGCAAACCCCGCTCAGAGGCTAAGCRTAAGCTGGATGAGTGATCCCTCCCCGTCTTACAACCCTGCCCTGTCTCTGACCAAGCAGAGGAGGGAATTTTGCAGCTTCTAAAAGGGAAAGAGGAGGAAAATGTGGTCCAGGGAGCAGAGGCAAACATGCTCAGCCTGCTCCACTTGAAAGTGTGTGTTGGGGAGAGCTGGAGATGCCGCGTCACGGCTGAAAGCACTCTCAGCCTCAGAGCACCGCTGCTCTGGGAGTGAGAGCCACAGCTCCCAGCACCCAGGGGGAGGAWGTGGCTCTGGCTGGTGCCTCCAGCCAGGAGGAACGCTGCATTTCGTGTCCCCTTTGGCTGTGATGAGGAAGGATTTYGGCTGAGCTGTCCCAGCCCTTTGGCAGAGGCGCTGCCCAGCCCCGGGGCTGCTGCGGAGTCTGGAGCTGAATTATTCAGCGTCCACAAAGCGTGGCCTCCTTCTCTCACTTCAGAACGAGCAGACAAGAGCAAAGCAGGCAAGATAGAGGGTTAAAGCAGGTCAAAGCCTCACCACTGCTGCTCTGGGCCCTGCCTGAACAGAGCAACAGCTTTGGAAGCTGCAGCTCCTCTCCCTCCTCCTCTGGCAGGAGCGAGGGGATGAAACAGCTCCAGGGCACAGTTTTGTGATCCAGTGTCCAGCTGAGGGGGTCCAGAGCCCAGGGGAGGGGGTACAAGGATGGGAGGCACTGTCATCCCCCTCGTTTTCCCTGAAGTTCGGGATGAGGTGGAGGGTGGTGCTTGGTGCCTGGGTGGCCACCACCTGGTCCCTGCCATGGCCTGGGACAACCTCCATCACCCCCTTCCACTTGGCAGGAGCCAAGCAGGAGTTTTGGGGTGCTTCTGGCTCCAAGTGCTGCAGTGCAGGAGGGCGTTCCCCATTAATTTGGCTGCAGCTACAAATCCTCCCCAGGCAATGGGACCCAGCGTTGCYGAGGCATGGATGAGTGCAGGAGGCAGCCAGACACATCTGCTCACACACTCACACTGCTCATGTGCTGCTGGGGAGGGTTGGGAGCCCAGCACCAGCTCCTGGGACAGCCCCAGCTGCCTCCTGCCCTGCCCAGCGGGATGGGGACACAGTGGGACCCTGTGGATGTCCCCCAGCCAGGTGTGATAGAGCCCTGCTCTTCCCTCACTTCCWAATTGGTGTAAACAAGGAAAATCAGGTCAAGAGGCAGCAGAGGCAGGTGCTCACCTTGCCTGCCTGTGCCCGGGTCACTGATTTTTCTCACTGCTGCKCCCTTTGCCACTGTGCAAAAGTTTCGTTATCCAAAGGATCAATTTTASCAGGGAATTGCTTTCTGAATTCGACCTTTGAGGATCATCAATCTAAGCAGGGAACTGTAACCCCAGCAGGCTGACCCCATAGCACAGCACTTTCCAGCCCAATCAATCAGGCTGCATTATTTAATGGTGARCAGCCCATTGCCAGCCCCATTTTGGGTGGAGGTTCCTCCATCCCGGCCTCCCTGCAGCCCAGGCTCAGTGGCTCAGCTCCAACCCTTCCTCAGGCTCCTCTGCCTCCTCCTCCGGGCCCGCAGCCCAAGGACACATGCTCGCCAATGGTCTGTGCGTGTCTTTCCCCAGCCAAGGCTCAGCTGGCAGAGCCTGGACTAAATGGCATTAGCCCAGTCCCCAGGGCGGGAGCTGCTGGTCCTGCTCGCCTCTGCCCATCCTCCTCGGCGCCCAGCCAYGGCAGGAAGGAGAGGATGAAGGGAAAGGTTAGGAGCTGCTTAGCAGTGAGGCTTAAAAAGYAGCAGCGGGGCAGACACCTGCGCCGTGTCCTGCAGGAATGGCCGTGGCCCCACTCCAGCCCCAGCACAGTGCTGTGCCAATATGGTCTCTCTGGCTCTGGAGATCTGAGGGGCTGGGAATGCTTCTCCTCTCTGACTCRTGGGTCAAGGCTGGTGCTGACAGGGCTGGTCCTCAGTGAGCACTCAGAGCCTGTGTAGGATCAGCCACCCCAGAGCACCCTCAGGCACTGGGGACACCCCCTCTGACACTGCTGCACTTTGCAGTGAACASAACCCAGCTCACGCTGTTCCCAGCACGAGTGGCCGGAGCAATGTGTGCCCCAAGGTGTCACAGTGTGCACCAAGGGGTGTTCATGAGTTTATTTTAGTGCGGGTTGTTCAGAGTGGTGCAGTGTGGTCTGACGCTGCCAATGCCTCCACCAGGGAACATCACGGTGCTTGGAACACCATGGAAAGTGCCCTTTTTTCCCCCTCCCCCCTTTCTTCTTTTCTTTTTTAATTTTTTTTTCCAGCCATAAAAAACACTTTTCTGCATTTCTCCACGTCAGCATCCTGGAGGTCACAGCAGCGAGCTGCTGGAGAGGTGTCTGGTGCCAAGCCCACGTGTGAGGGAAGGAGATGCCCACACACAGGAAGGGGGTGAGTGCAGCAAACCTGCAGCAAACCTCCCTCCGTGCTGGGAGTGGGAAATCAAACCCTTTCCCCGAGCTTTCATTAATAATGACTTCTGAAGTAATTTTAAAAAGCCATCACAGCCCTTTGTTTTCCTTCCAAGGATTCTTACATGTTTTACAACCTCTTTTCTGTCCTCAAGCTYACTTGCAGAGCAGGGAAGTAAGGCAGGGAAAGGCAAAGAGCATCTCCTTATTCTCCCTTTTCCTCCCCGGTCCCATGCTGTGACCCCACTGCTGTGCTGGGTAGGGCTGGGGAGCCAGAAAATTTCTCCATCTTTGGGAAAAACCCAGAAAATGCTCCATTTCCAGGAAAAACCCAGAAAACTGCTCAATCTCTGGGAAAAAAACAGAGGATGAAGGGAAAGGTTAGGAGCTGCTTAGCAGAAAACTGCTCCCCCTTCGAAAGGTTAGGAGCTGCTTAGTGGAAAACTGCTCCATCTTCGGGAAAAACCCAGAAAACTGCTCCATTTCTGGAAAAAAGGACCCAGAAAACTGCTCCATCCCCTTGTGCCTAGTTCCCATGAGACAACACCGCCCTGAGCTCCTTCAAAAACCCCACACATGGAGCAGCAGAAGGCCACACCATCCCTGCGAGCCTCCTTCCAGCCCATCCTGAACACTCCGTGAGGATGCTCTGCATGGCCACAGGGATGCTTTGGACACCGCTGCTCTCCTCCTGCTGGTTTTTCAGCCATCATATTCCTGTTTCCACCTCCACGGGCTCGGTTGTGCCCCCSTGCTCCCTTCCTGCCGCTGTCGGAGCCGGGGAGAGGCAGCTCGGAGGAGATGCTAATGACTGCCGGCCGGAGGAAGGCTTATCAGAGCTTTTCCCTCAATTGTTTGCTCTCGCTGTAATTGATGAGCCTTTAATGAGTCTCACGGGACGATGTGTTTGAAGGGAGCTCTTTCCTCTCAGTCCCCGAGGAAAAGGATGTTTCAACTGATCTGGGCTCTCGGGGAAACATGAATAACTCTTCTCCATCTCTCTATTGTCATCCCCATGCGCCGCTCACAGCACGCTCCGGCAGCTGCCTGGCCATCACTTACCCACTCCTACCTGCTCTTCTGCAACTGTTTTGGCAGCTCAGCAAAAGCAGGGAGCAAATCTTTTGGGCAAAGCATAACGGGTGCTGAGCTTGGATTGTTTCTGGCCCATCTGTGCGTGTGGAAGCAGGTAAAAATAGCTCYTAATGGCTGGGCCATGGAAGAAGCACAGTCCCT